TATATTTTATGTTTATACGTTATGGATGCAACTTATTTGAATAAATGCTTTGTTTTAATTAAACTGTAGTATTTACATTTACCAGCCTGAATTTTCGAGAAACTTCGAAAAAAAAAAAAAATATGCGTTCTTCGACAATAATCGAGCCTGTATCCCATACGAAAAGGGTGATATAGCCTGACGTGCTGTTAACCATACAGCCTCAGAGTATTTTCCAGTTAGCAAAATCCAAAATTATATCCATAGAAATAACGTATAAACAGAATATATATATATATATATATATATATATATATATATATATATATATATATATGCGCGTTGTTTGCTTTTCATTTTGGCGACTGCACAACAACAAGGTAGGCTCAGTTGGGCACCATCTGTAAGAAAAGAGCACCATGACACAATTCACTTTGACAGGAATTTGAAAGCATCATGCTGTACTGCTTGGCATTCGCGCCGGAAGTTCCAGTACCGACATTTCAAAGTGTTAGGGTATCAATCTGCAGAGGATTCGGAAAGAAATGGATGAGTGTAATAGTGATTACGAAGTACATCATCTCGGAAAACTGATAAGAAAAGACCCCCCGAATTTGTTACTGGGGTCTCAGCCTGAAGTTGGAGACCTACATCAAGGAGAGAGTGGCTGCTGGAAGACCTTATCTGGCAAAAGAACGCTGCACCCTGCCACAAAAGCCTGAGAACCCAGTCATGGCTGTCAAACAATTTCTGCGAACGCGTCAAACTTTACATTTGGCCACCTAACTCCCCAGACTCGTTTGATTATAATGTATGGGGCGCAGTTTAGCGAAGGACCTAAAGAACTCCTTATAACATGGAAGACGAACTGAAGGCAAGGATTATGGCAACATTCACCAACTTAAACAAGGAGACCATCCAGAAGAGTTGCAGGAGATTTCGAAGTTATCTAAAGGCCGTCGTTAAATGCCGATTTTATTAAATAAATTTACTCTTTAGTTTTTCAAGATATTTTATGTATATATGTTTTAGGTTGTTAGATAAAATCGTTCGTTTTAATGATTGAAAATTTATTATTTATTAATAGTTCTGATGAAATATTCAACGCGACTGAAAACGTATGTAGGTTTAAGGGGGGGTGAGATAAAGAAAATATATTGGTTGTAACAGAATTTCCCAAACGAGTTTGTGGTAATTATCATCACCAACATACATACAAATCATGCGACAAGCATTCATTGGTTAATCTCCTCAAAACTAGCTCGCTGATTGGTCAATTCCGACCAATCAGATCATCTGCACGCGATGAATGATATTTCCCGCGTTTTCGCTCGGAGCCGATCACCTGATACCCAGCTTTATATAAACAACACACGAATAACCCCCCCCCTCGTGTTTTCTCTACATTCCTCTTTCTCCTTGATGACAAGATGTAATCTTCAAGAGCTCCCGTCTTAACCAGTCAGGCGTTAAAGAACATTACCAGTACTCACGCAAGTACGCCCAGTCAGAATCCTATCCTGGAGAAATACCAAACTAATCCACGCCAGTCAAAACTTTAACCAACTACACTTTTCCCGCGTAAACTTCTCTGACTCAACAAACAGCATTTCGCTCTACCAGGAACAATTGCTTACGATACTAAAGAAAGTGAAATAAAACACTACAATAATAAGTATTCGTAAACAATCAATCAAACAACGAAACAACTAAAGATACACAACTCATACCAGGTTTGAACAATAATTTAAACAAGCATACGCATACACACTATTGACTTAACAACCACATAAGACATTTTTTGTACACGACCAAATACATTATAATTTCACACATGAACCTTAGTAACAGTTTCACACACACTGAAACTTGGCATAAATGCACTACATAATTCAATACAACCATTCAGACTTGTTCAACAATCTCTGATTCAATTGTGTATGTTTATTCTATATAAATCAATGTTATTGTTAAACCTTTAACTATGTTGTTTTCACTTTGATTCCTTTTGTATAATCTGCCTTCAATATACATGTTTCTTAATTTGTTGTGGATGAATGTCTAAGAACACCAACATCACTCCCCCTTTCGATAAAATAACGTCTCTGATACCTTAAAATACAGTCGCCAGTCTGCAACAAGTTCTTTAATAACCTTTGATCATGTTACCTGTTTACATGTCGTTGGTGGCATGTAGCCACTTACACTGTGAAAACGTAAATTTACACCTGGTGGCGAGGCGGAGATTTTTCAGGTTAACCTGCTGATGCAGATGACTTCTCTGATGGTCTATTTTGGGATAAACTGGGGCTAACGCTGTACGTATTGTATTATCATAGATCAGCTTCTGTTAAGGCAAAAATCCCTTTTGATATTAAATTCGTTTCACTAAATCATCTTAAATCATCTTGCGGCCTCAGCCGAGATTGAACTCACTACACCTTTCCAGTTTTCCTTATCTGTCATAGCTAATACTTTGATTGGTGTAGTTCATAATCTTGTCAAATAGCTAAATTCTTGATGCTTCGCTAGGGCTATCAAGGGTGTTTTTATCGTGACACCAACACTAAATGGATTGCCAACCAAGGCTCGGAGAGACTCCATTCACCCTTCTCTAAAAGCAGGTTTTGAATTCAGAGTTTTCCTTCTCCTAGACCAGTTGCCATCCAAGGCTATAGAACCCAGTCTGTCCTGCTATTTACCCATAGCTGAAGGGAGACGAAGAGGATTCACACCTTTCCCAAGTGTATTAGCACGTAAGTGAATATAACGGATTCGACTGGAATTCGAACTCGGCTCTCCGATTCCTCAATCCAAGCCGCTATCCATTACTCCACCGTGCCTCCTCCAGATACTAATACTCTAATACTTAAAGTGAACACTATATACAGTTTTCCTTCAAAATATAAATATGTTTACTTACATCCCCGACATCGTAGATACAATAATAAAAACAAGACTATATATTAAAAAGATGGTCGGAGATTCGTAATGATTTTGATCGAGAGTTTTACAGTTTATCAGCCCATTGTAAGTTATTCACATCCAGAGAAAACATTTTAGATTATAAGAATTTCTTTTGGTGATAATAATATTTAGTGGTAGGAGTCTTATTAACGAACTAGCAGTATTTCCCGGCGTTGCCCGGGGATGTAACAGTAAGAAATAGATCAAGTATCGACCATCATAAAGACTGAAAAATAAAATTGACAAAGATTGTTGTTTAAGGTTGACGGACACGCATGTCTTAATTAGTTTTTTTTTTTTTTTTACGAATTGGTCGAACCCAAACTCAAACAAAAACATTGTTTTCAATCGTTATGAGTCTCTACCGATTGAATAGAATTTTATTATAAACAATTGTCTTGTAAATGGAATTTTTAAAGCATTCTGAATGTAAAAATAAAGATAAAAGTGTGCAAAAGAAAAAGAAACACTACCCGCCAAAAACAAAAATTGAAGTTTTGTTGAAATCGGTTAAAAAATGTAGGAAATCCGATCCCATATATAAACGAACACACACACAACCAACCTGGGTTTTATAATAAGTATAACTCGATATGAGTTGTCCCCCTTTCATTAATACCTCTTAATCGTGTTTTCAAATTGATTTCCTGCAAAAACAATGTGTTTTTCCAATTTCTGGCGCTGTCAGAACCACCGCAAGGTAATTTTACGTAGTCCTGTGAAGTTTTGTTGAAATCGGTTGAAAAATGTAGAAAATACGATCCCATATATAAACGTACAGACACACACACACACACACACACAATCTGCGTTTTATAATAAGTAAGATCCATAGCTGGGTCAGTAGATGTGAATTCATAACTTTCCCAGGGGTATTTGCTCATAAGAGAATATAACGGACCTTACTGCATTTGGTACTCGTATCCCCGTTTAACAATTCCAAGCTATCATCTATTACATCATCCGCACACCCAAGGTTACAGCGCCTGGTATTCCGAAGAGGTCAATGATTTGGATAAAATCTAGCAATTCAATATATACTTCATGTATAAAAATAGTTCCAATAGAATTTTATACAATAAATTAAATTAATATTAAATCGATTTTCACAAAGTAACATTGTGACGGAAATTTTTAGACTATTGTTATACTGAATACTTTTTTAAACTAGAATATTTTAAACTGAAATCTTCACAGTATTTAACATTGTCGAATTTATCGCTAACATTTTTTATTTTCGATTTAAAAACTCTGCTTTTCGTTCAATTTTGCAAACCAACTTATGAAATTTAAATAACTTGTTTTTTTTTTCCAAAAATACTTAAATAAAAAACATATTTCACGGTGTAACAATTTCTTTGTTTTAATGGGTAAACAATATCTTTCAAGAAAGTTTTTTTTTTACTTTATTTTAAAGCGAAGAAGAATTTTTTAATGATTTCTTACTCTTGAGTGTGCAACATAGGTGCGTAAATATTTCTTTCTGTAGCCAAATTCCAGCTTTTTGAAGCGTTTGGTCTTGTGATTTGTTTATAGCTCTCACAAACACAAGGAGAACAGGAAACTGGATTCCCGTATATATAAAAGCTTAAAGAAAAGATATGGGAAAAAAACTTAAAGAAAAGATATTCAAATAACAATAGTGAATTTTTATTAAATATTATTTTAATCATTAAAATAGTGGGAGTATTTTATATGTTAAATAATAAAACTATTAATTGTTCCAAAATAATTAATTAAAATTTATTGTAAGTAAAACCATCTTTACTTTTACGGAAGTCACAGAATTTTAGATGTAGATAAACAAAATATACTTATGCCATACAGTTTCTTCGCAATAAAAGAAAATGATTCGAAACTCCAAAATTTGAAGGGAAATCTTTGATAATAGACCTTAAGACACTGAATAACCCAAATCTAAGCCCTTAGAAAAAAAAACGGTTTTATATTCCTTGTAATACTTTGTATATAACATACCTAAATCATTGCATAGCTGAGAAAGAGTTGAATAAAATGGGAAACTAAATTAAAAACCTTCTTAATTAAGGTTCTTAATGAACCAAATCTATTTTCTTTCTTATTTATTACCTCACTTGTTGATGTACTTCTGTGTGCATTGATTGATTGATTGATTTGTTTATCGGCATATCAACTTCTTATGGGTCATTTAATGCTAAAATTTGATCTTGCGAACTTTGATTTGATTTGTATTTTTAATTGTATATCAACTTCATATGAGTCATTTAATTAAAAAAATTGATTCTTTTGGGAGGTTTGATTTGATTTGCTTGTTTAACGGGATATGGGTCATTTACTGCCAAAATTTGATCTTCTTGGACGCTTTGATTTGATTTGTATGTTTAACGGTGTGCCAGCTACTTATGGGTCATTAATTCCAAAATTTGAATTTTATGGGAGCTTTGAAGCAATAAAAATGTTATTCCGTTTTCAAAATTGTCATAAGAGGATGACACAGAGTTTGTCTTCATTTGCCTATTTTCATGGGCATAATTACTAGAGGCAGTGATATGTGTGTTTTGTGTTGTAGTATTATTGAAGTCATATTTTTTTTAATACAATTTGATATTATTTGCATTAATATCATGAAAGAGTGCTTTCATGTTCGTTTGTTGGTTAATTTTGATTAGCGGCATATCAAAACCTCTATGGGTTACTTAATGCTAAAATTTAAATATTTTATTTAATTTTACGCCTTCAACTACAGAAGACATATTGTTATTAATTCTGCGATAAAATGGTATTGCTGGTAATATATATATATCAAGAAAGAACAGTAAGATATATACTCCGATGTTCTTATTGATATTTTTATTTTTACAAAATAGTGCTCAATGTAAATTTACAGAGCATAAATATTATAAATTAACTGATTTAAAATATGTTTTTTCGCTACATAGTAATAACCATGTTTCAAAAATGGAAGCGAAAAGCTTCGAATTTAATTTTGTAATTAAATTAAAAACATTTGTTCCATTTCATCTTCAAGCGAATTTTTCTTTGTTTTAAAGGCACAGAAAAATTCATAATTCACTGTTTCCAAGGATACAGAGAGATCAGACAAGTGGTGGTAACGTGTTCATTTTTATTAACTTTTGTTGTATCAGTTATTAGTTACGTTCGAAAAAGAGGTTATGTTTAGGTAGGGGTAGGGATGTATTTTTCAACGAATTTTGACATTCAAAACAACAAACTGACACAAAACCTCAACACCCTATAAAGTAAAAGCAAATGGAAATATGTTAGAAAGCCAGATCTAATAGAAAATAAATCGGATATAAACCTATCCAATACAGGACGGGATTTGCATTATTTACATTACTTCATCTGTTATACTCATCTTCATTGCCATATTCACAACGTTTCGGCTGTTGTATGCTCCAGCCCTCTTCCGGTGAGTGGAATTTAGAAACGAACCCTTTATTTCGTCCACCGGGGTAGATTTTCTCGTTCCAGGTGCCATGCCTCGTCCGGTAATTTCCCTTTAACTCAACAAGGTTTGGTTTACCACTGCTGTGACCTGGTATTGAACTCACAACTCTTTGGATCTAGTCACTGAATCTAACCAACGGGCCATGTTTCCTTGAGGAAAACCGAAAACGTTGCGAATACGGCAATGAAGATGGGGATAACAGTCTAAATAATTTAAATAATGCAAGTAATCGTAATATCTCATCTCAAAGATATAGACAGATACAGAACGGGAAGCCCGCAGCTTCGCGTAAAATTTGCCGCCTGGATTCATAAAGAAGATCTCATCATCTTGCGGCCTCAGCCGAGATTGAACTCACTGCACCTTTCCAGTATTCCTTCTGTCATAGCTAATACTTTGATTGGTGTAGTTCGTAATCTTGTCAAATTGCTGAATTCTTGATGCTTCGCTAGGGCTATCAAGGGTGCTTTTATCGTGACACCATCACGAAATGGAGACTTTCACCCTCCGAAGGTTTTGAATTCAGAGTTTCCCTTCTCCGAGACCAGTTGCCATCCAAGGCTATAGAACCCAGTCTGTCCTGCTATTTAGCTGGAGGGAGAAGAAGAGGATTCAGACCTTTCCCAAGGGTATTAGCACGTAAGTGAATGTAATGGATTTGACTGGAATCTCCGATTCCTCAATCCAAGCCGCTATCCATTACGCCACCGTGAAGATCTAGTAGACATTATAATGAACAAATCATTTAAAAAATGACTGAATTTACCAAAGGTTTCATTCAAGACACAATCAATGCTACTATAGAAACTAACAACGAAGATATATTACCACAAATGCACTAAGGAACCTAGCAAAAATATAAAGAAATCTACATCATTGTAATCAGTCTGACGAGTAAGCAAAGTCATATTTACTTTATCCATTCTTATCTATCTATCTATCAACCTATCTATCGATCTATTTATCTATCTATCTATCTATCTCAGCCTCTACCTTGAGTGTCTCGTATGAGAGTCTTTATTTATATATTGGGTTGGTGCATAATTATTACGTGTTTTTATAGGCGAGTTACTTGTTTATAGAAATTGCTGTTTTGTTTACTTTAAAATATTATTTTATTTTCAGGTTAAAAAATGCGTGTCGATGATCATAATTAATAATCACGTGTTTTCATTATCTATATTTGTAGACTCTTATCTATATATATATATATATATATATATATATATATATATATATATATATATATATATATATATATTTTCCATATCTATCTATCTAAGCCTTTTAAATCTATCTATGTATCTATATCTATGATCTATCTATCTATCTATCCCATTCCATATCTATCTAATAATCTATATCTATCTAGTCTATCTATCCCATTCCATATCTATCTATTATCTATCTATCTATCTATCTATCTATCTATCTATCTATCTATCTATCCCATTATATATATATATATATCTATCTATCCCATTCGATATCTATCTATCTATCTATCTATCTATCTATCTATCTATCCCATTCCATATCTATCTATCTATCTATCTATCTATCTATCTATCCCATTCCATATCTATCTATCTATCTATCTATCTATCTATCTATCTATCTATCTATCTATCTATCCCATTCCATATCTATCTATCTATCTATCTATCTATCTATCTATCTATCTATCTATCTCATTCCATATCTATCTATCTATCTATCCCATATCTATCTATCTATCCCATATCTATCTATCTAGTCTGTGTTTATCTAGTGATTAAGCTACCTAATCTCTATATGTAAATATTTTATCTCCCGCGTTGCTTTACAATATAAATATGTATAATTAATAACATCAAATAATTCTCTTAAAAACCTTCAGGTGAGTCAATGATCGAAAAGTACTTTATCGTACTCAGTTTTTTTTTTTGTTGTTTTTTTTAATTGTCATAAGATGTTTGACGGCGTTCCCATATTTACCAAAACATTGGCAATTGGTCAAGCCTCAAATTTCTTCCTCAAATGCTTCCTAGTCCAGCTGAGAACTTCCCAGTATCACCTCTTATGCAAGAGACAGGAAAGACTATAGACACCACAATCTATTCAACGCTCTCCACATTTCGCGCTTATTTTATTATTCGGTCGCCATTTTGTTTGCACCGAAGATGTTAAACGATAAATAAGGAAATCGATTTTATTTAATCGTCTCCTTTTTGTGAGACGTCGTTGACTAAAACACATTCGCTTACCAATCAATATACGCCTTTTCTGAACGCAATTTTACTCCGAGCAGGAGCAAATTATCACCTTCATAAATACAAACGCCTATCAAGATAACCACTGCGACTAAGCGGAGGAGGCAATAGATGTACTTTCCTCGGACTTATAAGCATGCATTTCTGAAGCTAAGCAAAGTATTAGGAAACAGAAAAATTTCGTTGGAAAGAAAGAAAAGAGTACTTGAACTCTTGCGTAATATCAGTCCTTCTGTGTGGCAGCGAATACGGGACAATCTCCTGACAGGTGTAGAGACTTTAGGAAGCAGAAATGTGGTTCTACAGGAAGATGCTGAGGATACCATGAGCTGACTATATGAACAACATCGAAGTTTTAGAGAAAATGGAAACAAAAGGGAAACTTATACCTAACATCAGGAAGAGACAGTTGAAATTTCTAAGGCGTATGATGAGTAAAGATAGATTTGAAAGCATACAGGACAGATATCAATCTGTCCTGCCAGTATGAAATCTCCATAGGTAAAAGGGACAGAAAAAATAACGTATAAGAAAACATAACATTGGATATTGGTAACTGCCTCGTTATGTGAACGCGTAATGGGCTCGCGTGGACAAGAACCATACGAGAGAGATGAGAACAGTTTTTCTCTGACATCGCCAAGAACAGGGACTCAAAGCCGCATATAAACACTGACCAAAAGTCTTGAGTCAATAGACTTTTTTTAATAAAAATATTGGGTTATTTGGTTGGTGCATAATTATCAGGCGTTTTTGAAGGCATGTTATTTGTTAGTAAAAATTGTTTTGTTTACTTTTTAAATAAAAATATTATTTTATTTTCATGTTATAAAAATGCGTGTCGCTAATCATGCTCTCCGGAATAATCATTTAAAAATATTAATGTTGAATTGTTATGTTTCTTTTTTCATAATAAATATTGTTTTAAAAAACGCCTGATAATTATGAACCAATCTATTTATCTATCTAGCTTAGTATCTACCTTGAGTGTCTCGTAAGTCTTAATTTATATATTGGGTTGGTGTACAATTATCAGGCGTTTTTGTAGGTGTGTTATTTGTTAGTACAAATTGTTTTGTTTACTTTTTAAATAAAAATATTATTTTATTTTCATGTTACAAAAATGCGTGTCGATAATCATACGCCTCGGAATAATCATTTAAAAATGTTATTATGGAATTGTTATGTTTCTTTTTTCATAATAAATATAGTCTTAAAAACGCCTGATAATTATGAACCAACCCAATATCTATCTATCTATCTTAGTTTCTACCTTGAGTGTCTCTTAAGTCTCTATCTATATATTGGGTTGGTGCATAATTATCAGGCGTTTTTGTAAGCGAGTTATTTGTTAATAAAAATTATTGTTTAGTTTACTTATCTAATAAAAAATATTATTTTATTTTCAGGTTATAAATTAAATCATTTAAAAATGTTATTATTGAATTATGTTTCTTTTTTCATAAATAAATATTGTTTTAAAAACGCCTGATAATTATGCACCAATCAATAATATCTTTAAAAAAATGTTAATTTCAGGATACTTATTAATTTTCCTATTTTCAAATTTCATGACAATTTTTTCTTTATAAAAATTTAAAGTGCGACCCAGAGTTTGTTATTTTACAAGTTTCCCTTGAATTAAAAAAAAAGTCTTGAGTCAATAGATTGATTGATTTCTTTTTTTATGGTTTATCAATCTTTTGCAGGTAATTTAAAGATAGAAAATACTTTCACATGTTAAGAACCTTTAGGATATAATAATGACTTAAGCAAAGATGCCTTCCAAAAGATAAGCAGTGTATTAAGAGAAGAGAAAAACTTCGCTAGAAACAAGGAAAAATGTAAGAAAATGTTACGTGATATCAGCCCTCTTATGCGGCAGTGAGTGCTGGACGATGACCTCAAAGATGAAGAAGAGACTTGTAGCTACGGAAATGTTGTTCTACCGAAGGATGCTGAGGATAACGTGGACCGGGCATGTGAGCAACGACAAAGTTTTAGAAAAATGGAAACAAAAAGGAAACTTATACTTAACATCATGAAGGGACAGTTGAGGTTTCTATGCCACATAATGAGGAAGAGGGCTTGGAAAATCTGACGCTCACAGGGCAGACTAAAGGCATGAGAGACAGGCGAAAGCAACGCATAATAGTTATTTGTAGTTAAATAATACATTTTAGATGCATCAAGGGTGGTCTTCAGTAATGCACTGTCCTCATCGCCGATTTCGGGTTTTGCATCATATCTGCTCAAAGAGCAACCCCGACCTGATTTAAGAAGAGTCAGACCGCTTCCTTGAAAGCGGACTTCGACCGTACTTACTGACGATATTCAGTCACCCCCCCCCCCCACGAGGGTGTCATGTGTCACAAGGCCTTTTTAACGTGGGCATTCCGAGCCCGTAGGCTTGGCCAAAAATATGCCCATTAAACCCGTATAAACGGGTTCAGGGCCGGTTTTACCTCCCCGAAGGAGACTCCGCTCTTCGGCGTAGCCTCCTTCGGGTTCCTCCCGTCCGTAGGAAGAGAGTACAACCGAACAGTCAGTTCAGAGTTGAACGACCGTACTTACCGGTCAACGTCAGCCAATGAAAACAAGGTTTTTCACGCTCCCCTCTCTTATATAAGGTTGTCTTTTTACTTCATCCGGTTTAGCTTCGATCTACTACTTCCGGAATCCATAACGAGGTGAGCTGCTATCTTTATTGCATAGTTTAATCCAATGTTTTACATATTAAATACTAACCCCCATAGCGAAACTCTTCGTCTAAAAACCTACACGCGTATCCAACCCAAATCTATCCTATACTAGCACTCTCTAAAACGAATTTCGCTATTCTAACTATCAGGTCAATCTGTAAGTCTACATTGACCTTATACTCTTATTCAAACAAAATTACACAAAAAAGTGAGCTTCAGTAAAATGGATGACGGAACAGAGTTTACGAAAAATAACAGAAGACAAAATTTATTAAGAGCTACAAACGTCAGGAAATTGTGGAGAGCCATGATCGCCTACGTCCTGACGGTATACAACACATAGAAAAAGAAGAATATGAGTGAAGATGGAGATTTCTTGCTGTATATTAAAACTGTTTGTCCAGAACATCGCAGCAAACCCTTCCAACTTTTCTCTCCCCCAACAAATAACTTTATTTGTGCCAATGAATGTTTTGACGTATTAATATTACTTTAGACAACAAGCCATTTTGATAATGTACCATGCAGTAAATCTCTCTTTTTATTCTTCTACTAGCAGTAGAGCCCGGCGTTGCTCGGGGTTGTAACAGTAAGAGATAGATCAAGTATCGACCATCATAAAGACTGAAAAATAAAATTGACAAAGATTATTGTTTAAGGTTGACGGACACGCATGTCTTAATTAGTTTTTTTTTTGTTTTTTTTTTTTTTTTTTTACGAATTAGTCAAACCCAAACTCAAGCAAAAACATTGTTTTCAATCGTTATGAGTCTACCAATTGAATAGAATTTTATTATAAACAATTGTCTTGTAAATGGAATTTTTTAAGCATTCTGATTGTAAAAATAAAGAAAAAAGTGTGCAAGACAATAAGATATGCTACCTGCCAGAAATAAGTGAAGTTTTGTTGAAATCAGTTGAAAAATGTAGGAATTCCGATCCCATATATAACACACACACACACACACGCACACAAACAACCTGGGTTTTATAATAAGTATAACTCGATATGAGTTGTCCCCCCTTCAATTCTCGCGATGACTCTTAATCGTGTTTTCAAATTTATTTCGTGCAAAAACCATTTTTTTTTCTAATTTTTGGCACTGTCAGAACCACCGCAAGGTAATTTTACGTAGTCCTGTGAAGTTTTGTTGAAATCGGTTGAAAAATGTAGGAAATCCGATCCCATATATAAATGAACACACACACACACAACCTGGGTTTTATAAGTATAACTCGATATGAGTTGCCCCCCTTTCATTCTCATGACAGCGATGCCTCTTAATTGTGTTTTCAAATTGATTTCATGCAAAAATAATTGTGTTTTTCCAATTTTTGGCACTGTCAGAACCACCGCAAGGTAATTTTACGTAGTCCTATGAAGTTTTGTTGAAATCAGTTGAAAAATGTAGGAAATCCGATCCAATATATAAACGTACAGACACACACACACAATCTGCGTTTTATAATAAGTAAGATGACAGTTACAAATATCTGCCCGCTTCTTGAAGGATGTAGATCGGCGTTTCTCAATCATTGCCCCCGTACGCACTAATACGCCCCGAATGCTAGCCTGGAGAGTAATTTATAAATCATCTTTAAATTAAGATATCGTCATTTTTGAAAACGCTAGAGACACTAAGAACATGGCTTTCATGTTTAAATCACCGTTCTCATTTGATATTTCAAACTGGATGCTAAATCCCTTAATCTTTAACAAGGAATAGATAATCCTTTTTTCCTTTTGCCTTCCTAAAGGATTTAAAACAGTCATTATCAGCCTCTCTAAAATTTTTTTTTAAAAATAGCAGATTCTTCATAAAG